TATCAATTTCAATAAAAGCTGTGATAATTAACATATTATTTTTTGTAAGTGCATTTATTTATTTGATTATTTTATTTCTGCAGATTTTTCATTGTCTCGAAATAAGGAATCGACGGGTCGGTAAGCCGAAATATATATAAAAATAACAGCCTAATTAAATATCTAAATTTTGATATAAAAAAAATGTAACATCGTTGCCGATGACAATCACACGGGACTTAAAATATATTCATCTTGAATCTTACAAAACTTAAATTTGATTAACAAAATGTGACATATCTGACTCGTTATTATTATAGTAATTATTGATTTTTTGTGGTCTGCAGAGATTATGCTGTGTATTGTCAAACTAATGTTCATTATACAATATGGTGTCAACACCATGTCTACGATTATCTCAACGCATGTATCACATTTTCTCAATATTCTAAAATAATTTATACGAACATCCGGATAAGAAAATCGGCTCCGGACACCGAGTCGTGATCCGAACTCCGAATGACATCCCTATTAAAAAGATATTAAAGTCAGCAATAATTGAATAAATACAGGCCTCGAATATGAGTACAAGTTCAACAGAATCTTAATCCAGTATGGTACTAAACAATGTATTATGACTTCTTTATAAAACGCCACCATTTTTCAACATCTAAATACAACTTTATTATTGAGATCCAAGCTGTCAATTTAAAGTCTTATAGTCCTCGCTTTGTTGTTGGCAATAATTTTGAATCATCCCTCCGGATCCAACACAAGCTAAGTGCACCTTTCTGTATAGTGATCCTGTCAGTTGAACTTTGCCATGGCACCTTGTTCCTGCACAACGACGTCATTCTTCAGAATCAAAGAAGTGATCTCTGTTAAAAGAAGGAAAAAGTTAATGTTGCCAAACACAGTAGTCATTGACAAAATGGTGTAAAAATTGTGAGAATATTCCATAAAAGCTTAAAACAGAAATGTATTTTCAAAATGTATATATTTGGGTCCGAGTGGGAGCATCTCTGAAATCGAGTCCGAGTGGAAGCATATTCAATTTTTATATAAAAAAGCGTTAAAAAACTGACATTTGATTAGAAATATTTGAAACTAATCTAGAAAAATTTGTAAACATGACTCGGTTTATATTCCGGTACGTTAAAAATAATTTTCAAGAAGGTTTTCAACCTTATTTCTGATATGTTTTGGGAAAAGTCCGAGTGGGAGCATTCAGAGAAAACATTTATCCCGTTTTCAGGCCTAAACCAGGCAATGAATCTATAAACTTGTTTTAAAATTATCTCTCGTACTATAGCCATTCTTTGGTGCGCTATATGATTTTTTGATACTCTTACGTTTTCTTATAATAAAATTGTATTTTACCTTCGAGTCGACGAAAAAATGGTCCAAGTGGGAGCATTCAGCAGGTGCGCGATGATGTAGTATCCTACCATTGATTTACGTTTCTGCAATTTGGTAGTAAATTGATATTTAAGTCTATAATTATAATTATAATTAATATAAAAAAGTAAGCATATATATTTAAACCTAGCCATTCACTGACCACCTGTGTGTCAATATACACAAATTTGTAACAAATTCCAATGTCGTCACTACATTTTATCAAAAATGTTTTTTTTATTCTTTCAAGTTTATAAAACACATTAAACGCTTCATGTGAGTTTATCCAAAGTGCACAAAACTTGATTTTGATTTTATTATGTACTTTACAAATGACGTTATTCAACTAAATAAAATTGTTTTTTCGAGGTTATGACCGAATTATTTGTAGGCATACTGCATGCTTGGTGTTCAACCCTTTTACAGTTGGACGCTACGCTTTCCTCTTTTGATTACATCTGACGGACCAAGAGGGAGACTATATGATGGACAGTTCTTGAAGCCCTTTGGGGACTGAATTTTCTTAATGTTCGTCTTCTGCCTTGCTTCGTCGGGCCCTTGTAGGTGATTTTCTTGTTGCTCTGCCTTCCTTTAAGGCATCGAGTACTTTGGTAATGGTCATTAGGCAGTAACTTTTTCTACATATTTACATAATTTTGTAAGTGTTTTATTTATTTCGTCTAATGTTATCATGACCATTGTTAGAATTTCACTTGGCGGGGATTAATTTTATATACATTATCGTGTCATTCAGGAACATATTGGGGCTAAGAGTGAGGTTTGGCGCGCCTAAAACCGGTTTTAACTCCCCACCAGTGGTTTAACTACTACTGACCGTTCCAAGGCGATACCCCTGTGTGTTGCTTCACGTGTTTTTCTTGTCTGTATTGTTACTTGTTTTTGGATGTTTACATGTTTTGTGATGTCTGTCTTGTTGGATTGTCGTTGACGGTAGGTATTTTTTCTCCCCCCTTCCATTTTAGCCCCCCCCCCCCACCTTTTCACCCGTACAGCCCTTTTCCTTTGGTTCCCTTATGGGCCTGATTTTGTTTATTTTATTTCACATTACATGTCCCGCTCCTTTCGCCCTTGTGTCCACTCCAGGTACTTGTTTGGTGCCTTCTGGGTGTCCTGCTTGGGTGTGTCCGGGGGCGGCGTCCTGTGAACGTTGCCTTTGCCTTGTTGATCTTTATTCTTGTTATTAGATATAAGCAAATAAACGATTTTTGAACATTTTCAAAAAATCATTAAAATTTTTCTTCTCCCTGCAAACCAGATGTATTATTTTATAGTGGTGCACACGAGAGGAGATAGTGTGAATGGCGTCTTGTTCACTCCGCATTTATAACTTAATCCTCAAACGTTATGTTATGCCTAAAACCATCATGATCATTTTCGAAATGACGATTGAACGTATTTTAACATGCATCCTACGTTTGCTTTTTTTCAAGGTTGAAGCAAATGTGCCATTAAAGCTCTAGCAATTTGTGACTTTTTCCTGATGAATCACAAAGTATGGATGATATAATGATAAGGGGTAGGGGTGGGCAAATGACTAAGATGTTTGCCCCTCAATTCCAGGATTGTGGGTTCGAGCCCAACTAAGGTCACGACTATGTTTCCTCATTTGACACCAGTACTGCTGAGTTCATGAAAGCGGCTCCAAAGTGTTTATTCACACCAGAACAACTTAGTTCCAGGAAGCGGACACTAGAGTGATTTATATAAGTTGAAAGACCGTGTTTCGCAAATATATATATATGTGTGTGTGTGTGTGTTTACACTAATAGCTTGCAAATTAAGGGCCCTGTGATCACTTTGTTCAAGCAGCAAGAAATATACAAAATTATTCTAGTGCAAGACCTATATATTTTGGTTTACAGGGATATTGCAGTACGATACTCATGAAATATGTTTTGCTTATTTGGTGAAATATTTGTTTATTATACACTTTAAAAAAGTCGGTGAAATATGTTTTCATTATACATTTGTGATGATGATTATGATGATGATTATGCTGCTGCTGCTGATAACGATGGTGATGAAGATGGCGGTTGTGGTATTTACGAATCCGTCATTACCTTATTTTTCTTCGTTTTCTTCATCTTTATTTATAATTAACTGTATTGGGCATAACGGCCTTATTTTTATAAAATAATATATACATTATGTATACGTAAGTATTTTGATTTTTATGTACAACTTTGGTAAGTGACAAATGCGTTTTGGTGAGCATAGAAAAGCTCAATCCAACCGAATATGGCACAATTTATGTTCCATATTCTGCTGAAAAGTGTGCCATATTCGACCAAATGTGTCACATGTATGCTATATTCGATCCTTGACATATGCGGTCCGACAGTGCGCACAAATAGCAATTTACAATGTATTACATCGTAGACAATTACCTATATATACGCATAAAATTTATCTATAAGATTTCTGAACGGAGGGTTTTGCAAATGCCATACATTATAACATGAAAATCATATATTAAACTTACGCTAACATCCTTAATGTGACACACTGGATAGCTGTGCATTCAAAAAACGCCTTTTACGTCAAGAACCCAGTCAATACAAAAGAAAGATGCCATTTCGGACCAAATGTGGACTTAAATGCGAATTTGGTATTATAAGTATTTGCTTCTTATCAATATCGTCACAATTACAAAACGCGATGCATACATCGATATGTTTATCCTTCCCAACAAACTTATAAAAAGACAAGAAAGTTTCTTAGAAAAGCTAATTGGTCGAGGAAAATCTACTTTACATTTTGCTTGGTAATGTCTTGGTGGTATTTTAATGTAGACCTGTAGCAATGCTAATGCTAAACATAGAAAACTTGTCCGGAAAATACCAAAAAGTACAAATGAAATAGCAAATAACCCTTAAATTTACCGGAAGTTATAATACAAATTCACACCCAGAAATATGGATATAGATGAGGATGATTTTATGATATTTGATTATTTAAGAGCAATTTACATCTTTTCCCATCTTTAAGTAAATGATTTAACACATATCCACTGAAACAATATGCAGCTTTTTTAATGAATGTAGCGACCGTGAGTATTAAGTTCATTTAAATATTTCACATTTTTCAGGTTGTGCAACTCATCAAAAATCGTTTAAGCAGTTTAACGAGAACGTCATATATATAACGCATGTGAATATATGTTACTTATATTAAAACTGTTTTCTTTTGCTCTATTACAATGTACCTGAAACAACAGCTTTCACATATTGCCGTAATTTGTTTTCTATGAAGTTCTTATTTTTTTCATTTAGTAAGTATTTCTTTATATTTTCTTTTTGTTTATTTGTTTTTCGTCGTTGTTTTTTTTTTTTTTTTTTTTTTTTTTCTGACATGTTACATGTCACAAGCCTTTGAAACATCTCTATAATTAATAACATTTATTGGAAAATTACTTTCTTTGATGAAATCAAACCGGCTACTTTGCAAAAGTCGTGGCTAGAGTAGAATGGACGGTACCAACGCACAATTGTATAACATTAATAGCAACCTGAAATATTTCTTTGATTTCAGGAATTTAAACAATAATTTTCTTATTATATTGCCTTTATTGTCTATATTTATAATAACAATTGCAACTTTCATCTATATTGCTTCAAGTAACACCTTATAGAAAACAATATGAATTACTGAAATGGTCCTGAAACCCAGCGTAACTTCATTGAACAAAGTCCTACACCGGTCCTATAATTAAACCCAGTGAAGATAACCCTATTTGCTCCAATGTAAATGTCCTCATTTTCCTGTCCTTGAGCGACATATTGACCATTCAAACCAAACAGATATTCACTGCAGTTTGAAAGAAGGAAACCGTAATCATTTGAAATTTTCAGATATTTGTTGCGTATCCAAAAATTCGCAAGACTTACAGGATATTCCAATGCATTGTAGTGCCTGCAAAAATACAGAAACAAATTTATAAACGACTCGTTTATTTTTCGTTACAAAAATGTTAAAATGAATATATGTAATATGCATTTGAATAAAGTATTATTACAAAGTGTTTTTGTCAGTTTTTTTCTGTTGCTGTTTTTTTTCTCTCTTAAACTTGTCCCTGTAAAAGCACGTATTGTGATGAAGAATATTTAGCTTACATGTCTTGTGCGTTCGGACAGTGGTCATTGCCATACACAGCCAAGTCACGTGAAGTCCCTTGTACCTCAGCATCATAACTTTGAGTGCGATAGTCCCCTTCTGCAAAACGAGCAATATTACATGAACATTTCTATTCTTGCGTATCAGACAGATTTATCTGCCGTTAACACCGGTGCTATAAAAACATGGCTTAGAACCATCATGTAAGACAAGTGTGTGTTTTCTTCATATCCGCGCAACGTTTATGAATGAATGCGTTCTTAGAATGACGTCGTGTTTTCGTTATGAATGAAGTTGTAAACTATAAAAAAGTGTAAAATGAAAATATAAGTTTTCGTAATTTCTTTCTTAATTATGATTTTTCTTAATTATGATTGATATGTCATATGCATTATTGATATGTCATATGCATTATTGATATGTCATATGCAAGAAAGAAATCAAACACCGGCTGTAGTCAGAGATCCGAATATCAACCTCTCAGATAACTGTTTGGCTGAAACTCGGCACAAACTCGTTTTCCCTCGAACTAGATATCCTGACCGGCAGCCGGTGTAAAATCCTCAACTTATATTGAGTATAAGTTGTTAGCATTTAACTCTTTTAATTTTACCCTAAGCAGACTTAATATGCATTACATGTACAAGCACATCAAAACAGAAAGAAAGAAATGAAGAATATTAGGATGTGATTTGGATGATGTTATCGAAATGGCGCTTTGATACATCTTTTAAAGTTTTTATTTTTATAATTCAAGATTATATTTAGGATCACTTTAAAATTTGTATTATACTTATTTTAATTTTCAAAATTGACTACATTGGAAAACACTCGTGCCTAGTAAAGAATTCTAACAAAATGTAATGTGCACTAACTATAAATGAAGTATTTCATAAGTTGTACTACGTGTTAATCGTAAACTAATCGCTTTCAAAAGTTGTACTTGTTAATCGTATTCTGTAGCAATAACTCACAAAATTCGCTAACGAATGTATACGTACTGTTACCATCATTAGTTTGACTGTCTCCAATATTAAACATAAAACCGCTTCGTTCGCCATTTGAAAGGTACATTTGTACTTTCAACAATCGCTGTGCAAACACTTTCGAGTATAATTTTTCGTCAGGAACGCAATTCGCTTATCCTCTATCCTTCACAAAATGAACCTGAACAAAAATATTTGTATCAAAGTCCAAATACTCTAACATTAGGAATGGTCTCGATTATTCTCATTCAGAAAAACAAAATGTTCTTGGGGAGTTATTTCACAAACAATTCAACCACAATGTCCTTAACATTTATTCAAAATTACCTTAACACGTTTGCAATATTCGATTTCTTTAATCAATTTTAATTGCTTTATATTGATATATATTTCTGACTTTATATCTTACTTTTATTATGGCTTGTCTGCTGCATGGTTTGCCATGAAACTTATGTGTCACCCCTTAAATTATAGAAACACCCGGTATATGTCCCCTTACAGCACCAGTATCGTCAAGGTTTATGGTCATTTCACCAGACTGGTAAGCCAAAATAAGTGGCTTCAAAACTTGAAGAGAGTAATAAAATATGCATGTATGTATGTATACATTTAAGACTTTAAATGCATGAAAATATTACATGGTTATTATATAATTTCAAATAACTATTTTTACAATTTATATTTCAATCTAGTATTTTTATCAAATACGACTTTAAATTAAATTAAAATATACAAATGTTTCAAATGTTTTTGCGACTTTAAAATAAAATTTACAAATGTTTTAAATATTTTGCTGTCTACGCTTCCTTATATTTGGAAAAAAAATACTAAAAAAACAATTTCGCATTACAAAATCTTTTTATTGCTAAGTACAATATTTTTCACGTATTTCATCAAACCATTTCTGTGATAGATTATCATCTGCAAAAAGAGTACATCATAAGCCTATATTCCTAATGTACAAAGATGTCAGATGACATGAAATATTATATACAATATTAAAAAGCAAACGGAATATCAATATTAACATATTATTATTTAAATACATTATTAATAGAGCAATGTTGTCAAAGTGTTTAAAATAGATCCTCAATAGAACTTTCATTTATATCATATAAGTGTATTTTTGATTATACATTTTTCTTCTTATTATTATCATTAATAATACTATTGTTAAAGTTGGGATAATTTTTGCAAACATTGTTTTATGGTGCAGTTTGTCATGAAATAATGATATTAAAAAACAATATAAATTAAATAATTGTTATTGTTTTTTAAGTCATTAACTTTATTTACTTTATCTTTATCAAATAATGAAAAAAATTACTACAATAAAGGTCGCATTTACATGTTTTACTAATTGTTTACTAATAGTCTAATTTATAATACTATGCTCAAATAACACAGGAAAAGTAAAATTGATTTATCTGAGCAACTTGCTCAGAAATAAGCGTCTTCTTAAAACAGACTTAATTAAAAATAAAACACAAATAACAAGTAGATGGAACAATTATGTTACACAAAAAAGTGTTACTGAAACTGAAATGTAAAACTTCGAAACATGTGAAATCTTTTAGAATATAATTGCGTGATATAACCATTATTGATGATATATTTTTATTAATACATTTATCAATTAATTTGAAATTACAAATTTATGTTTAGATGGTGGAATAAATGGAATGCTAGTTGAAGTACTCGCACTAGTAGTCGTCGTCGTATCTATTGTTGTGAAAAGCGTAGTTGTTGCCTCAACTTCAATGGCACACGTTATATACAACAATATATTAAAATATTTTCTCATTTTAGAAAATCTTATGTTCTCCATACAGTTATCACTTAATAACAAATGCTGCATTATTTATGATCGCGTCTTATAAAGTATCAACACAATCCCTAAATTCCAGAGTATAAGAGGCTTTGTAATCGTAATGCATGAAAAATGAAATGCAACAATAAGTGAAATAAAAAAACGACAAAGAGGCTTTTGATATATCTATAGACCAATTCATTTAATCCTGTGCATTACTGCATAATTTATGTATATTTCTATAAGTATTAAATGCTGTCAAAACAATATGTTACAGTTTATACTCGTATTTCAGCATTAAAATAATACAATAAGATATATTTAAATGTCATGCCACTAAAGTAAAAAATGTCAAATATGCTGAACTTTCATTTCTGCATGTTACATTTTACAACCAAGCAATTAAAGTATAGCAGTCATTTGGAGGGGTGGTATACTATTGCGATGAACTCAATCATATAGCAATCGCAACATGGCTTAATATGATATAGAAACATTTAGAATTATAATACATCATGGCTGAATATATTGCCATTTAAAATCGTTTCAAGAACGGTTAAACGAGCAAATAAGATAAATTAAACTCATCGGAGTTTAATAGACAACCCGTCCAAAGGATAAAGATAGGGGGAAAATAGAAATTAAAAATTTCAAAGAGATGAAGGTATTGATGATCGTTCAACTCAGATGTCCGATTTTTGTCTGAAAATATACACACATGCACTTTGCCAGAATTGAACAATACTGGTAAAAGCCGGGTTATATTGTTCCGTTGTAACTACTAACGGCTTAAGCTTGAGTCTGGTTTTGGTATGACAAATGTACTAATAACTTGTCGAGGTCACTTCATTCTGGCAAAACTATCTATAAATGCATAAAATTACTACCAATCAAAAAGCTCTCTGTTCCAGGTTGCTTGACAATGTACTGAATACCTCCAAATTTTCGTAAAACAAATTGACTTAAAGCAGACTGGAAGCAAAAATGCACTTATACCACTTTTTAAATTAAAGGTAGGATATTACAGCATTGCTGGAGAAAACTCATAGGTCACCATGTGTAAATAAACTGAAAATATATGTTCTTAAAGGCACAACTGCTTTATCACTAATTTAAAAGTACTATTTTTCCCATTGCATTTTATCAAATATTAAAAAATCGTACGTCATTCTTGTATCGTGAATATATCATAAAAACCTATAGCGATAATAATAAATTATCCACATAGTGTAGATTAACATGCCTTTATCAATTCTATTTTCTTCTTTTTCTCCGCTCATTGCAGTTCAACAAATTTTTAAATTATCAATTATATTTATAAGCATGTTTTAATATATAAAACAAAGATATATTTCCTTGCGATAGAATGATAATGCACGAGTCACCAATAAAAAACGGAAGAACATAAAACATTAACATACATCAGCTTTACACTTCAGGCCCAATTTTAAATTTCTAACTTTGCTGCAAACATTTTTATTTATCGATGTTATTTGTTTATTTTTAGAAGCAAAAAACATGTATTCCGGTAATTTAAAATAAATATAATTGAAAATAATATACAATATATGTTCTTGTGTTTATTTGTGACACAATCATCATTGTATAATATTTAAAGGCATATTATACTTCGTATTTCGGAGTACTGTTAAATATAGCTCTATTAACTAAATAATCTGATTTCTAAATTCCTGATTAATAGCGGTATCCTTTCAAACAGATTATTAGAACTCATTGCATGTTGAAATCGAGACAAAAGTCTGCTTGATTAATACATTCAGAGCGTGCAGAAGCAGATGATTTAAAATATTCCGTGCACATTGAAAGATATAAAATATTTGCATAATCGATCATCATTATAGTGCAATATCTATGAATTTCCTGAAAATAAATTGGGTGAAAGGATCATTATGCCTCAGAAATCAATAATTTTATCATTCTTTGGTCAAATATGTGTTTGATAATATTTTGAAAATCCATTTAGAGCATCTTAGATGTTAAAAACAACTGCAGAAAGTAGCATTTAAAGCGCAGCTATGTGTTGAAAATGTAGCAAAAAAAAGTAGTTTTTTGACCGCCAGACAAAATATTGACTCCTATTGATAAAGAAGCAAAATCAGCGAAAGAAAGTTCATCTATATGGCCAATGATAATTTTTTCAGAAACTGTAATAAGATACCAAAAATAAAACTGTTTTGTGAGGTGTAAAATAATATCATTCCAAGAGTTTAATGGGCATTTAAAACAAATAAGACTTTGAACTTAAACTATTCTTTATGTGATGTTATTGGTTGTTTATAATCTACAGGAGCTATTAAACCATAAGCATGCCAATTCATTACTGGTTAAGTGAGTTTTGATTTCATAATTCTTTGATGTTTATCATATGCAACGCATTATTATCTAATGAACCTAATTTTATTAACAAATGATTACATATTTTCAACATAATACAAGACACGTGACCTTGCGTGAGAAATGAATAATTAAGATATCACCGTTAATCACGGCACACCCTGCTAATGAATTTAATAACGTTCAAAAATATCAACTTAATTAAATAAATATTTCAAATATACATTTGTTTTATTCCATACCTTCGGAGGAGTATTTTCCTTTGCATTTAAAACATATGTTTACCGTCATTACGTAAGAATTATTCTTTTGAAAGAAACATGTATCTCGTATGATCAATCTTTATTTTTACCCATGTGTCAATTTGTAAATTTCAATGATGACATTCTGGGGATTTTTTTGGATGATTTTTTTTTACCGAAGAAGTGTAAGGTTATATTAAGAAAATAGTATGTAAGCTCTATCACGAGCAACGTAATATATAATGTAAAGGCACCCTTGTGTCCAATAAGTAGTGTAATAAATAAACACAACCCATAATTTGAAAGTAAATACATCTGTTCGAGAAAGAAAATCTCTGGAACGTTTTTTCTTAAGTACTTATGTCACGAAAGTATCTCCATAGATACTTATATGATCAGTTAAAGTGAAACGCTGTTTTTGTCGACAATAAAAAGTGTCTTGAATGCAACGTGCACATACAAAAAATTAAACATTCGTAACTACGAGTTAACAAACATGTTGTTTTTTTTCATACTTGACCATTTTTCGAAAGATCTTGATGGAGTCATTGTTCAGCGACATTACATTAACAGACATAATTATACTAATTCTTATTCACATGGGCGACACCTTACGTTAATTCTTTGAATCATTTGCCTTCACATGTTGATTAAAACGGGTTTGACCACTTAAGTATAAAGTTACAAATGCATTTGTTCAAACCTAAGTGATGGACTTATACTGTATTCATGGAAAGATTATCTGTTCTTATTACCATGTCCGTATTC